GAGACATGATTGATAAAAGTGCACTGCAGACCATATACATCACAGAGATATTTGCATCTGTGCAGCTTTTATAGCGAATACACCTTCAGTTCTTGTATTCAGAATATATACGAAATCATTTTAGTACAACGTATACGTAGACAGTTCGTAATTAAAACCTTCTACCCTTTTCTAAACGCTCAGTCTTCATCAATCTGTGTTCTTTCGTTCAACACAGCTACCAACTACCGCTACCACCAAACATAAACGAAATAGTCCTAATTACAGTGTACTTTATTTTCGTTACCAAATGTCTAGTTAACCTACTGAGTTGGCACAGCGCTTTCAGTCTGGGACTAGATACAATCTGACTAAGACGACCGAATGGAGTGATTTCATGAAAGGGTTCGAGGGCGGGAGACTAACACATCACTAAATAATGAACATGATAAGGCAGCTTTCAATGCAAGTCCTGCGACCTAAATGGAATAAATGCATCAAAGACAAAGTTCAAAGCCAAAGGTACGTACTCTCTCATTATCTTCCTTTATCGAGTACGCGCTTGCCTGTTACCAATGAAGGGAGTTTTCATTTGTCACTTCATGAGTAGCTTTTCTTGTCCTTTTGTTTGTTTTTATATAAAAACAACTAGTTCGAGATCAATTCTAGTCTTTGTGTTCTCTGTTTTGTACTTTATTCCGTTCTTATTGCACATTCGTCTTCACCGCTGCAACATCTGCAGATAAGAATGCCGCATTGCACATCGCGACAAGGACCACACATCACTTGGAATGCCAAACACCCGTTTAATGGCCTCGTCCGATTGTCACGCGACGCGAGAAACGGACATCGAACGGCGACTTGGCTGAGCGGAACGACGCCTGAACTCCGAGCCCGACTCTTGAAACTAACCCGAAACCTCACGAGGCTGAACCGACGCTTAAAACCTGACGGGGCGCGACGGCAGCAGGTCGTTGAAGGCGTTCCTCCTGACGATGGCCCGAGGCACCGCCCACTCGTCGTGCTCCACGAAGTCGGTCATGACGATGTTGGGGCCGCGGACGCCGACGGGCAGCTGCGCCAGCCAGTCCGGCAGGGCCTTGTTGCACGGGGCGGCCATGCTCTCCAGCTGCCCGGAAAAGTGGCGCGCCAGGTACCTCCCTGACGGCGTGAGGACGCACCTGGAGGGGGAGGCGCGTTGTAAAGTACATGGTGACGCAGACTGTTATTCCATCAAGGTCAAAACAGGTGTTTTTTGTGCGGAAGATATATGTCTGTGGTGTCTGATTGACTGAAATCGCTACTGGTACTCCTATCGTTGCTGGAATATTAATCCAGACTCTTACAGCCCCCTCCCTCCCTACCTCCCTCCCTACCCTTCTTCTCCCACCCTTCCTTCCCTCCCTCCCTCCCTTCTTCCCTCCTTCTGCTACCTTTCCTTCCCTCTCCACCTAACTCCCTTCTTCTCTTCCTTCCTTCCATTCCTGTCCTTCCCTTTTCCCTCCCTCCCCTCCACTCTTACATCCTCCCTCCCTCCCTTCCTTCCTTCCTCCCTCCATTCCTTTCCCTCTTCCTCCCCTCTCTCCGTTCCCCTCCTTCCTTCCCTCTTTGCCTTCCACCCTTTCGCCCTCACTCCTGCCTTCTTCCCTTCCTGTCCTTCTCCTGTCCTTTTCCTCCCCTCTCTCCCTCCTTCCCTTCATTCCTTTCCTCTCTCCCTTCCACCCTTTCTCCCTCACTCCTTTCCCCTCCCTTCCTTCTTTCCCTCCCTCCTTCTCCCTCCCTTCCTTCCTTCCCTCTCTCCCTTCCACCCTTTCTCCCTCCCTTCCTTCCCTCTCTCCCTTTCACCCTCTCTCCCCTCACTCCTTCCCCCTCCCTTCCTTCCCTCCCTCCTTCTCCCTCCCTTCCTTCCCTCCCTCCTTCTCCCTTCCCCCCCCCCTTCCCCCTATCTCACACTAAGAACTACTAACTGCGTGACGAAGAAGGCGTCGGGGTTCCTCTCCTGGATCTGAGCCTCGAGGAAGGAGAACATGGCGGCGACGGAGGTGGTGTTGGGCCAAGGGTTGGGCAGGGACGAGCCAGACCAGAGCCACGGGATCGCTTGCATCGTCTCCTGGTGTCGGTAGAAGACGAGGACCTGGGGAATGGGAGGGAGAAGAGAGAGTAGAAGATGAGGACATGGAAGACGGGAGGAGAAGAGAGTAGAGGATAAGGACATGGAAGACGGGAGGGAGAAGAGAGAGTAAAAGAGGACATGGAGAATGGGAGAAGAAGAGAGAGTAGAAGATGAGGACATGGAGACGGGAGGGAGAAGAGATAGAAGATGAGGAAGAGAATGGAGGGAGACACATGGAAGACGGGAGGGAGAAGAGAGAGTAGAAGACGAGGACATGGAGAATGGGAGGGAGAAGAGAGAGTAGTCATGGGAATGGGAGGAAGAAGAGAGAGTAGAAGACGTGGAGAGAATGGGGACGAGGACGTGGAGAATGGGAGGAAGAAGAGAGAGTAGAAGATGAGGACATGG